GGCAGGCACTCTGTTCACTGAGTTACAATACCCCCAGCCCCGACATGTTCCGTGTATGACATTGCTTGTCTGTTTCCAAAACTAAGCAGGATATTGACTGATTTTGCTCACCGACAGCCACCTAACACAATGCCTGGTGCATCGTCGGAGCTTAGCATTTACCCAGTGAGCCACCAGATGGACAAATAGCAGAACTTAGTGAGCAGAATGAAAGTGGAATAAAGGAGGAGTCAGTAGTGACGCCCGAGTCCGTAGCTTGGCAGGCTCATGGCGTCACTGAGGCGATGAGCTGGGGGTAGTGTGGTCAACGGGGCGAGTGGCAGCTTCCAGGTGAACTGTGGAGGGGACTCGTGGATAAGCGATCCGGAACTCAAAAAAAGAAAGGTGGAGGTACGAACCAGGAGACAGGATATGCATAAACAGCTCATGCATGGGGACAGGATGGAGACAAACGACTGAGGAAAAGAACCAGAAACAGGGGTGCCACAGAGCTCATGAGAGTCTCTCAGTGGTCACCAGAGAGTATGCCTCAGCATACTCAGAGTATGGCTCAGCCTTCCGCAGCCGTGACCTAGAAGCCCCGCTTCTGTGAAGATGAATGTCTTAGACACTTAGGCAGCCAGCACCCACAGAGGAGGGGAAGCCGGCCACCTGGGTCAGGTGGGATGAGTCAAAGGTCAAGTTCTGCTTTTCTAGTGACCGAAGCTAATGCCCTTTGCAGGTAGTTCTATGCAGTTCTGAGGGGTGGCCTCTGTTACCAGGAACACGACCTGTAGGTGTATCGGGATTTCTCCAACACCAAGTGAAAGACTACTGAATTCTCATATCCCAGTGAATTCCGTGATTAGCAAATGTCAGCAAAGGTTTGAACAGGCCGTTCTTGTTTTAACTTGTTAAATACACATCTTGCAGAGCTTAAACACACATCTCAGTCTACATGGCATGTTATTAAGAAGTCCTGACTTCATTTCACTGGGATTCTCACGTTACCCCACCACCCTAGCAATTTCACTCTTCCATCATGAATACATTTTTTACATCATTTCAAGTGACTGAATAAGTATATTTACAGATTCGACAGAACAATTGTGCTGCCTCACACGGGTAGTATATGCTGAAGAGGCATATGCAGAAGGATTGTGAATTCAAGGCCAGCCTGGGCTACATTATTGCTGGGTGTGGCGATGCAAGCCTTTAATCCTAGTAGTTGGGAGGCAGAGATAGGTGGATTTTTGTGAGGTCGGTGACAGCCTAGGCTACATAGTGGGATGTCTCAAATCAAAAGAAAACTGAAGATTCGGTGGAACTGTGGTCTGTTCACATCAGAAAGACAAGGCTGAAGTTAATTAGAATCTGCTAAAAATGCGTAAGGACGAGCTACAGGCACAGCTCCGGGAACTGTTAACATGAGCATGTTCACAGGCTCTAATGCAGAGGTGGGGGCCTATCCCTTACACCAGATTAAGTCATGGACGTGCCCACTCCCCTTGGCTGGTGCCTGACAGACCTTCCTCTGGGATAGAGGGCAGGGCCAGCAGCTTCCCAAGCCAGGCAGCACTTGCCTGGTCCCAGCGTTAGCAGAACTGTGTGCCAAGAGGGGCCTCTTCTGCTCCTCCACCGGGCAAGGCAGGTGCAGGCCAAGTCCACTCACTAAGCCAAAGCTACAGAGGTATTCATTCATCTAGAGGTGATGGGATCAACACACAGTGTGAAAACACTAAACCCCAAATTATGCACTTGACATGGCTTTCATTCTGTTGGAAAGAATCCAGTGAAGGGGAGCCTGACCCTTAGAAACTGTCTGTGGTTACTTCTGAGAAGTAAGGTATAGTGGCTTTTAAAATTCTCCTTCCTAGGGCTGAGAGTGCAGCCCAGCGGTAGAACTGTGAGAGGGTTGGGTTCAATCCCCCCAAAACGAACAAAAAGTGTAGTCTATTATTTGTGTGTGTGTACATGTGATGTGTATGTAGTTACATGTGCCTGTGTGCGTGTGTGTGATGTGTATGTATGCGGTCACATGTGCCTGTGTGCGCGTGTGTGATGTGTATGTATGTGGTCACATGTGCCTGTGTGCGCGTGTGTGATGTGTATGTATGCGGTCACATGTGCCTGTTCCACATGCAGAGTGCTCAGAGACACCTTTGTGGAGTCAGTTCTCTTTCCACCTGTGGAAAATCCATGGACTGGATTCAGGTCACCAGGCTAGCCTCACCCCGGAGCCATCTCACCAGCCCTGAAATTCTTTGCCTGCCACGTGTCTAGCACTCACATCTGGTCCCATCTCAAAAATCCAGGCGAGAGGCTGAGGAGACGGCTCGGTGGATAAAGAACTTCTCTGAAGGTTGAAGGCCAGAGCTGGGATCCCCAGCTCACACGTAAAAGCCCGCAGGGATGAGAGCTCACCTGGAATCCAGAGGCAGGGATTCCCGGGGCAAGGGGACCAGCTGGATTAGTCAAACTGAGGAGTTCCAGGTCAGAGG